GGTGCCCTTCTGGATCAGGGGCTGGTGGGGGTGGTGCCCTTCTGGATTAGGGGCTGGTGGGGCTGGTGCCCCTCTGGATCAGGGGCTGGTGGGTGTGGTGCCCTTCTGGATACCGGGAGGTACAATTCAGTAATAGCTGAGTTCACCGGTCTTGCTGATTGGTAGATCTGGGGCTTGGAGTTTAGGTCTGTATGAAACAACTCCATGGTACACACTGTCTGATCAACAGGACAAATCCACAGCTCTTTCCTAATCTGCTTAGCATCCTCTGTTCCATCAATTTCCCTCCTGGGCTAACCTCATCCATATTGTTCACCCTCTGTCCCTCCCTTTCCTGCCCCTCTTCCTCCTTCTTTGACCTGATTGGTGACAACACCTGCTTTGTCCTATAAGCTGAGTGTTGACACCAATATATTTGTTAAGATGCACTTACTGCAAAATGCAGTGTATTTCTCTCGGTGTAACTGTCATGAAGATGTTTGCTTATGTTGATTTAGAAGCTTCTGTATTTTACGATTCAAATAACAATGATAGCAGTGCCATTTTAATTACATCAAGCTGAAGTGGTTCTAATGGTGGAAAGTGTAGAGGAGAAATGACAGTATGAGTTTTTGTGTTTAAATGTATTTTTTTTTAGGAAACGTCTAGGTTGGCAAGTGGGAGTGCGTTTGTTGAGGATGATCTGCACGCTGCACTGGAAACTTTACGGCAGTATGGTTTGCAATCAGTGGCGCTGGAATGGTTTATGGAGATGTTGCAGGTTGACCTTCAGAAGAACATTGCAGCAGAGTTCTGGGACTTTCTCACACAAAGGGAGAACATGGTGACAGAACAACAGCGCTCAAAGCTCCTGTATGATGCCTTCTGTATGCTGGATCAAAGGCTAGCACCCTACTTGTGCAGTCTGAAATATTTAGAGACTGGGATTGAGGCAGGTCTGATTACCAGTGTAGGACCTGGAACACTGAAAGACAAGGTCTACACAATGGTTAAAGCTGTGTTATTCTTCTCAACTGTACAACCCTTTCAGGAGATTATACATGAATTTTACACTCGTGCTTTCAGTATCTATGCGCACCAAGACAAGGCCCTACGGAATGGAGATAGCATGAGTGAAGATGAAGATGAGAATGCAGCCGATGATATGGAACAGCTAAGCTGTGCTGGCTGTAATGCAGTGAAAGAGCGGTGCTGGTGTACCACTGCTGTGGAGCAGTTTGCAAAAGTCAATCATGTATTGTAAGTATCAATCTTTTGTCTATAATTTTAGCAGTTTGCACAATCGCACCTTTTAGTTATTGCCCACCTAAAAAAATTCATGATCATTTGACAATTGGCATTCTATTTTGGTGTTGCAGAAAGAACATCATTTGAGCAAATTGTGCAAGGTGTTCATATAATAACTGTAAAGGAGTTTTCGGTAGATTACAAAACCTCTTGTGGTTTATGTGCTGTTTGGGAGATTTTCTGTTAATGAACACTTAAAGATATAGGACTTGTACACTTAATGGTAAGGTCCTTGGGAGTGTTGCTAACAAAGAGACCTTAGTGTACACATTCATAGTTCCTTGAAGGTGGAGTCGCAGGTAGATAAGATAATCAAGAAGACGTTTGGTATGCTTGCCTTTATTGGTCCGTGCATTGAGTATAGTAGATGGGGGGTCATGTTGTGGCTGTGTAGGACATTTGATTCAGCTACATTTGGAGTATTGCGTGCAGTTCTGACTTCCTTACTATAGGAAGGAAACTGAAACTTGAAAGGGTTCAGAAAAGATTTATGAGGATGTTGCCAGGGTTGGCTGAATAGGTTGGGGCTATTTTCCCTGGACTGTCAGAGGCTGAGTGGTGACGTTATGGACATTTATAAAATCATGGATAGGGTAAATACGCAAGGTCTTTTCCCCAGGGTGGGGGAGACAAAAATTAGAGGGGAGGTGAAAGGGGAAAGATTTAAATGGGACCTAGGGAGAAACTTTTTCACACAGAGGGTGATGCGTGTATGAAATGATGGAGGAGGCGGGTACAATTACAACATTTAAAAAGCATCTGGATGGATATATGGGATTTAGAGGGATATGGGCCAAATGCTGACAAATGGGACTAGATTTATTTAGGATATCTGATTGACATGGACAAGTTGGACCAAAGTGTCTGTTTCCGTGCTGTATGTCTCTATGACTCTATGACAGGAAAAGTCTTTGCCCAATCACTTCAGTCTTCCCCAGGATCTTGAATTTAGTGTTTTTTTTCCCCCTTAGCACAGTGGTTTCTCTGTTGGTAGATCTCCTATTACCTGGTCTTTGTTAGTGTTACAATTGGGAAGAGTGTGCCAATACACAAGCCTCTATGTTCCACAATCTGTCAGAAATGTGTAAATACTCAATTAAACCATCAACATGATCAATTTGCTTGTGACTGATATGCAGAACAAAATCAATTTACATCAGGTTTCATTAAATGAAAATTAATTCTATTTATTGTAAACGCTTATTCTTTAACAAAAGGCAGAGAACAAAGTAAGGAATACTAATCAACTATATGACAAACTATACCCCAATAAAATTTATGTATGGAAGAATATAGAAGGGAAAACAAAATTCTGAGGGTCAGAAGTCCCAACCTCAAGGTGAAGAGTTCATTCTCAGTTCTTTTGATTTTAGCACAGATGTCTGTAAGGTGATGATCAGTTCTTCAATTCGCTAGTTGGCCAGGTTGACCTAGGTTTTTTAACATAGAACGTAGAATAGTACAGCATAGGAACGGGCCCTTTGGCTGACAGTTTTGTGCTGAACGTGACGCCAAGTTAAACTAACCCCTCCATTTTTTGCATATTCATGTGCTTATCTAAAAGTCTGTTAAACACCGATATCATAACTGACCCCACCACCACTTCTGGCAGCATGTTCCAGACCCCTACCACTCTCTGTGTAAAAAAACTTGCCCCTCACATCTCCTTTGAACTTTCCCCCTCTCACCTTAAATGCATGCCCCCTAGTACTAGACACTTCAACTCTAGCAAAAAGATTCTGACCATCAACCCTATCTATGCTTTTCACTATTTAATAGAATTCAATTAAGTCTCCTCTCAGCTTCTGCTGCCTCAGAGAAAGCAGTTGCGTTTTTCTAATCTCTCTTTATGCTCGTACTGTCTAATCCAGGTAGCATCCTGATAAACCTCTTCTGCGCCCTCTCCAAAGCCTCCACATCTTTCTTGTAATATGGCGAGCAGAATTAACGCAATACTCTAAATGTGGCCTAACCAAAGTCTTATAAAGCTGCAACGTGACATCCTAACTCTTGTACTGAATTCCCCAACCAATAAAAGCAAGCATGCCATATGCTTTCTTTACAACATCATCTACTTGCATGGTCACTTTCAGGAAGCTCCAGGACATCATGTCAGCTCCAGGACATCTCTGCAGGAGTTCCTCAGGACAGTGTCCTCGGCCCAACCATCTTCAGCTGCTTCATCAATGACTTTCCCTCCATCATAAGGTCAGAATTGGGGATGTTTGCAATGATTGCACAATGTTCAGCACCATTCGTGACTCCTCAGATACTGAAGCAGTCCATGTTCACATGCAACAAGATCTGGACAATATCCAGGCTTGGGCTGACAAGTGGCAAGTGACACAAAGGTACCAGGCTATGACCATCACCAATAAGAGACAATCTAACCATCGCCCCTTGATATTCGGTGGTGTTACCATCATTGAATCCCCCACAATCAACATTTTGGGGGTTACCATTGACCAGAAACTCAACTGGACTCACCACATTAACAGAGTGACTACAAGAGCAGGCCAGAAGCTGGGAATACTGCAGCGAGTAACTTACTTCCTGACTCCTCAAAGCCTGTCCACCATCTACAAGGCACAAGTCAGGAGTGTGATGGAATACTCCACACTTGCCTGGATGAGTGCAGCCCTAACAACACTCAAAAACCTTGACACCATCCAGGACAAAGCAGTCCACTTGATTGACACTACATCCACAAGCATTCACTCCCTCCACCATCGACGCTCAGTAGCAGCAGTGTGTTCTATCTACAAGATGCACTGCAGAAATTCACCAAAGATCCTCAGACAGCACCTTCCAAACCCACAACCACTTCCATCCAGAAGGACAAGGACAGCAGACATATGGGAACACCACCACCTCCAAGTCACTCACCATCCTGACTTGGAAATATATCGCCGTTCCTTCACTGTTGTTGGGGCAAAATCCTGGAATTCCCTCCCTAATAGCATTGTGGGTCAACCCATAGCAGGAGGACCACAGCAGTTCAAGAAGGCAGCTCACCATCACCTTCTCAAGGGCAACTAGGGATGGGCAAGAAATGCTGGCCAGCCAGCGATGCCCACATCCCAGAAGTGAACAAAAAAAAACCCAAGATCCCTCTGTACATCAATGCTGTTCAGTGTCTGGCCATTAACTGTGCACTTTTCCTTAACAAGGTGCAGCACCTCACACTTACCCGGATTAAACTTCATCTGCCATTTCTCTGCCCATATCTGCAACTGATCTATGTCCCGCTGTATCTTTTGACAACCTTCTACACTATCCACAACTCCACCGATCTCTGTATTGTCTGCAAATTTACTGACCCAACCTTCCACGTTTTCATCCAAGTCATTTATGTATATCACAAACAGCAAGGTTCCAGTATGTATCCCTGTGGAACACCAATAGTCACGGACCTCCAACCAGAAGAACACCCTTCCACACCACCACTTTTCTTGTATTAAATTCTTTTTTTCTTTTAAGCTTTCTTGATTTTATTTTTGTCTTCTCACTCACACAGAGAGAAAGGAGAAAGATGTTTGCTGCATGCTGGCTCAGTATAGTACTGGCTGCGTTGCTCCCACTGGTCTGTAACTGATTGCAGTTTGACCAATCTGAGGGCTGTTGTCAGGTAGTTTTTTCCTTGACTCAAAACCCCTGGTGCTGGCTCTGACTCTATATATATTGGTCTAATGGCTTCAAAAGCAACAGAGCCTTCACAGCTAAAAATGTGCATCAACTGATATATCAAGTTGCAATACTTTCCTGCTATTTTAGCTGTATGGTAATGTCTGACTCCCAGTCCCATTTATAGTTCAAAAAGGGAAAATATGTGGTCCTTTACACTAGTGGTCAGGAGGCAGATGTGAGAACTTTACTGGGTAACGCATGCCTTCTAATATTCCACTCCTCATTACTGATAAGAGACGTGTTTGAGGTGTTTGGTGTCTTTCTAAGATTGGAAATTCCAGTATATATGGTGAATGTGCTACCAATTCTAAAACTGCATTCCAAACATCACCTCCTAGCAACAACAGCTATATCTACATAGAAACTTTTAAAAGTCTCCGGGTTCTTCACAGGGAAATAATAGAACAAAATATAACACCAGGTCACAAATGGAGGTGTTAAGGCAGATGACCAAAAATTTCCTCAAAGGTAGATTTCAAGGGATATTCTAAAGGAGGAAAACAGTGTAAAAAAAAAAATGGAGAGATTTAAGGAGGGAATTTGTGGGAAACAACCCAGGCAGCTCATGGCATAGCTGTCAATGGTGGAGCAATTTCAAAGTGATCAAAGAGGTCAGAATCAGTGAATATCTTTTTGGAAGAAGGGCTGGAGGAGGTTACAGGGATGGAGAGGGACATGGTTATGGAGGAAATTGAAAACAGGAATGTGAATTTTAAAATCTCTGGCATTGTTTAACCAGGCACTAGTGTAGCTCAGTGGAGGTAGGTGAGTGCAATCTTGTGCAAGATAGGAGATGGGCAACAGCGTTTCAGATGAGTTCTTATTTACTGAGAAGTTATGGTGTAGTACTATTGTCACTGCACTAGTAATCCAGGGATCCAGGCCAATGCTCTGTGTTATGTGGTGAAGCTGTGAAATTCTGTACCACATAACTTTGAGGAGCTCAAGCCACTGAAAACATTTCAGAAAGACATGGACTTCTAGATAAATCTTTTCACTCCGCGACCTCCTTTGGAGGATTTAAAATTGCTGGTAACTGTCGGAGCAGTGTGAGCAGGTGTTGGCATATTATAACTCGATCACTCACTTTCCTTTTCATGCTCATTTATACTCTCACTCACTTTATACTACACACTCACTTCCTCATACTCACTCTCTGTCCCTCACAGCTTTACACAAACTTACTCACTCACAAATTCAGTCATACTTTCATGCATCCTCACTTCCACACTTGCTCTCATTCACTCATTCTGTCAGAGAGATTG